AAAACAATCCTGAGCAACATTTGATTTCTCTTCCATGAACCCCACACTCCAAACAACTTAATCACCAGCGTCTAGGAAGGTTTTGGTTATCGGACAGACATATGCAAACACACTGAAAGCATRTCATCAATTAAGATTAAACTGGTTGTAAGCTGCATAATTGGAAGCTAAATGGCACTAATTTATTTATTGCAGACAAGAAATTGGCAGTCCCAGTTGGATTTGAAAGTATCACAAGTAATCTGATAAGTCATATTCAGAGAAGTTATTAAAATTGCATGCTCAGATTTTTATTTGCCAGGGTGTCCTTTCGCAAGAGGACTTCACTTCAAGCATCTCCAATTGTTTAATCAAATTTAAAGACAACCAGCAGCTTTTGATACCCYTATTATTATGACTGACCTAGATTATTTCTTCCATGTATCTCATTACTCTCGTATCATCTTTAGGAACTGACAATTAATAATAGTGTATCAGTACTTTAAATATTCCTGTGTTTTCTTTTTGAAAAACAAGGGTGTATGAAGAAGCAGCAGTCCTTAATTCCAGTCACATTTTAAGAGTATGCACAGTTAGGGAGAGCTTAAGCCACAACATCTCTGGGCTCTCTCCATGGGAGTTAGGACCCTTGTAAGTCATTACTTGCTAAATAATTTCATCTGAATTGAACCATGGAAGCTAAAATAACATTCTACAATTTTAACACACGAAGAAATATGTAGAGAATGGAACACTCTGCATAAGAAACTGAAAAAGTATGTATATGCACCTGGTTTGGGTTTTTTATTTATTTTTTTCTCCTTACAGCAAGGAAGATATCTCTTTYGGATGCATTTTGAGAAATCTCAAGAACTTGAAGTTTTAAATTCAAATAAAACCTTTTATAAACCACTTACAACTGGAAGTAATCTTCAGAATGCTAAGCACCTAAATACATAGCATTCATCTTTATGAATCAGCATGAAATTATCCCTACCCTGAACGAYTGTATTTCCATGAACAAGAAGAAAATGAAATTAAGGCTCATAGCCATCACAATTACATTAAGTTCTCAGCCTGATTTGGGAATGTTGTCTCACCACTGAGACCTATATGAAATCCAATTTCTGTGTAGTTCTTTGCATTCATCACCTTGGCACTCTGCAATGCAGTGTTACTACTTTCAGCAGGGAAAAAAGATGAAGCACAAAATACCCTTAAAACTTTCTCCAAAGTTCTGAGGAGTTTTACAAAACAAGAAATTGAAGCCAACCCCAGAGACATCAGCTGAATGCCCCAGTCATGGGCTGCCTTTGCTCCACAGATGTGACCCGTACCAGTCACTCATTCAAACGCCACCAAGACAAMAACTGAATGCTCAAGATGTTTTTAATGTAGCACTGCCATAACTGTGAGAAACCTGGCTAAGGAATGATTTCCTTGTCTTGCAGCTTCCCAGGTAAGATCTGAAGCCACCACTACTGACAAACACACTGCAAATCCTAAAGGCTTCCAAGGATCCAAATTAAAAATTAAATTATTTCTCTCTTCCAGCAAGCAGCTTTGATGCACAGGTCATCCACTGTCTGTCTGATAAATGCTTCTGGATCCCAAACAATTTTCTCTAGACAGCATTTATCATCTTCAGTTGTGGGACCAAGACTGTACTCAGGAGTTCTCTAGTACACCTACAGGTGTTGGTACAAGCTCATGTTGTTAATTTTATAACTAATACCCAGAGACTGGACAAATCTGCATATTCCCGGCTACTTGCTTGAGCAATGAAGTTGCACCATTAGTTATCCATCTATCCATCCTTCTTTTYATGCCAATTCTGTGTACATGCACTTGGTAAAGCTGTTGCTAAGAACTGTGGTCCAGGCAAGATGGACAAAGCCAGACAGTGTCACTTACACGGGGACAAAAAAAAAAAAACAAAACAACCTGATTACATGGAATGAAGCTGTTGTTTTATTAGAAAACTTCCAACCAAACTGGGACTGTAGGTCATGATGCCTGCAGCTAGATTTGTTGAAAAAGACTCTAAAGTCTTGTTCCAAACCTGAGACAGGTCTCCCAAAAGATCACGCAGRTCTTGGAAAGGAACATATATATGAAGAGCATTTAAATATATTGTTTTGAACAACCTTCACAACAGCAATTCAAYACACAAGTAGAAATCCTGGCAACAGCACAGGATTTCCAAGCTCTGGTGAAAAAAAAATCCTCAAACCAACATTCTCTACCACCCACACTACAAAAGACAGGAGATTCTAGTATTCCAGTGAAATTGAAGATAAAACAACAAATGGAGGCTACRGAAGCTTAAATTATAGGTATTTTTCTTCTGATTACCCACACCACTCAAGGAAAACCTCACYTACTGGATAAACCACAAGTACCCGACTATTCCCCTCTTCTCACATCTTAACAAGCTCAGCAGTACTTATGGCATTAGAATAGGATCAAAAATTCCTCTTCATCCCTGAGGGATGACAGCAGCAAGCATGGATCACACAAATGGAGTAAGCAACTGCCACCTATSCACTGCTGGTTCAGTGTACAACTACAATTCATTTCTCATGTTAAGTGAAGTTCAGAAACCTTAACTGCCTGCTAGTTGTACCTTAACTGCCTTCTAGTTGTAGSAGCAAATTCTGCTTTTTCTCATCCACTGAAAGGAAATAAGAGTGGACAAGTGTGTCAGGGTAGAAAATGATTACAAAGGAACTGCAGAACTGGCACTGCAGGCATGAGTTGGCCTGCAGAATCTTAATTACAGYTGATACTCAAAGGAGAAACACCTTTTCCTTACTCAATACTAGACTGAATTTAAGAGAATATTTTTCTTGCCCAATGTACCAAATTGATATGGAAGTTAGCTACAAGTGACACCACAGGATTCTACACTTGCAATGTTTAAAATAATTAACAAGCACCAATCACCCACAGAAAAAAACAGTTCAAGAGGCGGGTAACAGAGTGAAGTGGGGAACAAGAACTCAGAAGGGCCCACAAAGGAACCTATGCAGAAGGTGACTACAAACAGTATGTATACACACTTCTTAGCCAGGCTGCCAGAAAGAGCTGTGGTTTCTCAGCAAGATKCTCTTTATTTTTATTGATTATCTTTAAATATGACATTCCCAGCCAGAAGTTCACTGGCAAATGACTGAGGGCACACAACACTGTATTAATTTTGCATATCTTCAGATTGATTAAGACAGCAAAGTATACAACTKCCCACAGAGCAGCAGAAACTAAGTCCAAGCATTCTAGTTAGCAGGTATTTTGGAACTGAGTCGTCCCCCCACGCAGCCAACTGAGCTTAGAGAAGCAGGAAGTTATAACCCTCCCCAAACACACCGAAGGGTAGTGTGGGACTGAACCTCGAGGTTCCCCTGGGTGTCTTTTTTTTTTTCTACATCTTTTCCAAACAGCTGCCATATCAGACTTGTCTGCTGCTCAGAACTTCTCCAAAGAGCAGCAAATACTGTGGCAAATTATCTTGCAAATTCCACTGTCAACCACTGGATTGCAAGGATGATTTCTAAACATCATTTGCTCTCTCCAGGGAGTGCTACTGACAAGAAGTCTGGAGCAGAGCAGYAGTAGCCTGTGAGCTCACAGACAGCATTGATTCACTGCACATTAGCACTGAGTTTATCTTTGAGCACATAACTGCTAGAAATGCATTCTAYGTACACTGAAGTTTAGATTCTGGTTCAGTGACTTCTACCCCCTCAGGGAAAAAAAAATTCAAGGTCTAGCCTTTCCAGGATCTAGTGAGGGGGGTTGTTTTTTTGAAATGAAGAGCATATTATAGCCTGTGCATATCTAAAGGGAGATGGAGCTGCCTGGTCCAAGAAGCATTTCCTCTGATTTTGGGACTAAATCCAGGTCATGACAGCTGTCAGCAAATATGGATGCCCATCTTTAGAAAAACTTAGTGACTACCATGTAAGTGCATCCAATACACAACATAAAATTCAGCAGCTCTAGCAGGAAGAGTAAGGTTCAAATAGACATAGCCTGTGCAGGTGAGATGTGCTATCTGTTGGCAGATCTTTATCCTTCTGGAGCACTAAACTCTCATAATTTTGAAACAAGCGAAAAGCAATTAAACAGTGTTCCTGACACCCAACACACCGAAGAAGAATGCCAGATGAGAGCTATGTTTTCAGGACCCTTTGCCAGCACTCTTCTTTATGTAATTACACAGATACACTGAAACAATCACGTAAGAGCCTCTCAGTGTAGTTTCTGTACCTAGTCCAAGTTAGTTAGCTTAGMTCAAACCACAATTCTCTTTACTTATTTTTTTTTTTTTTGTGACTGGGATAAGAAAATGTTTATCTTTTCTAATGGCTCACCCACAAAGCTTTTGCGGGGAGATGTACCATGAAATTATGCTTGCAAACACATATCGTGCGTGCACAATACTCGTTCCAGAGTATATTATTAAGAATTTTAGTATATATAGGCACATAAACACAGCCAAAGATAAAACCGAAGGAGCTTCTTTAGCCCTCTTATAACGCCATTAAACAAAACAAACAAAAAAAAGAAGTGGAAAATACAGTAGGGCATTATTCAATCTTTGATTAGAAATCAATGCCAGGGGCTCTCTCTACCTCCTGCCCTCGGGACCGAACACATCGCTGGGGCACACCGTCCGAAAGGCAAGAGCCCCGACAAAAACCGACAAGTTCGAGAACCGGTGAAAAACGGTCGGTTCGTGCAACGCAGCMGCCTCCGCTGCTGCCCACGAGCTGCGGGAGGTCCCGAGCCAGCAACCACCGCCCGGAGCTGCGGCAAAAGACGGAGCGGCCGGGCGGGGAGCGGAGCTGGGGCCGGGCAGCCCCGGCGGCCTCCACTCGCGGCGCCCCTTCCCCGCCCCGGGACGGGGCCGGACGTCCAGCGGGGCGGCGGGGGGAGGGCGGCCGGCGCCAGCCGCGCCCTTGGGCCGCCGGACCCCCTACACGCACCCCCCCGTGCTACCCCTCCGTGCCCGCTCTCACCCATCTGCTCCCGCAGCCCCTTCAAGGAGGAGGAGGAGGAGGAAGCGCAGGACGGGGGCGCCGCGCCGCCCTCCGCCATCTTCAGCGCCGGGCCGCGGGAGTGGCGGGCGGACCGCGGGGCGCGGGGCGCAGTGCGCAGGCTCCGCCCGCTCCCGCCCTCGCCCTCGCCCTGCCCGGCTCCGGGAGCGCTCCCGCGTCCATCCGGGGCGGCCCCGGGGCAGCGCCGGGCTGAGCCCTCAGGCTGCGTTTTCACACCGAGCGTGTCCCGCCAAGGGCGGCGGGGCTCCTGCAAGGGCTGGAGAGCGTGTCTGATGAGCAGCGGCTGAGGGAGCCGGGGATCTCCAGGAGGCTCAGAGGGGATCTCATCGCTCCCTGACCAGGAGCCTGTAGTGAGGTGGGGCTGGTCTCTTCAAGTGAAGGTGTCTGCTGGGAGAGCACCAGAGGAAACGGCCTTAAACGGCGACAGCAGAGATTCA